CAGATGACACCAAGGTATGTAGTAATGTTAAATTCTATGCCTGTATAATGTTATTGTGATTTGATGTACACTGATTTGTGAGAAAATAAGACTGTAGTTTTGACAACGATTTAGAGGCATCAAGATCTGAAGGTTAAACAATATTGCAAACTGCTTTTATAAAATTTCATCTTCTGCATAGAACAGAAACAAAAAAGAATGTTCTTAATCCAGTTAACTTGTAACAACAAAATTATGTTTGAATTTCGACTGTTAATGAGAAAACAAATAATTTTACTTACATTGTTATAGAGATCAACTGTCTGAATCTCTTTTAGTACCAAAATTTAAATATATCAATCATCAATAAACTTCGACAGTTGGCTTAGTATATTTCTCATCATTTGCTCTTTACTTCTAACAGGCCGTAAGTGCTTTATAAGAATGATGGTCAAATACCATTATTCGATTAGAGTAGCCCATGAGTTGACGGTGGGTGGTGTTGACTAGCTTCCTTCCCTCTAGTTTATCACTGCAAAATTAGGGAGGACTAGCGCAGAAAGTCCTCGGGTAGATTTCCGCGAATTCAACAAACAACAAACGTCTTCTAACAATATTTCATTCATTGCAACAAAGACGACAAACAACTTGAGTTAAGTGTTGTTGTTTTTTTTATTCTACCAGACATTTCGACTTACGAAACGTAGAGTACAATAAAAAAACATTTATTTGAAGTTTTTTATTATCTTCATAGTAAATGGTTTCTGTTCTCCAGACAGCACTAAAAACTTTAAAAATAATGCAGAATATTTCATTCAATTAATTTTTGCATAATAACATTGTCAACAGTATCCAAAATATTCTAGAAATTTTAATGATGTACAGTATAAAGTACAGTACAGTAGTATGAAATATTTTATTACACAGCAATTTTAAATAAACTCCTAATCAGAATACATTTAAACATATGTACGTTTGAAACTTTAATTACTTTAAAACTGAATAAAAAAATATTAAAAACTTCGTAAAAATACTTTATGCTCCTACAGGGAAAGAAGAGTCCGTTCTTCGAAAGCGCTTGAGCTTCTGGATCAATTCAATATGTTTATTGATTTTTTTGTGATCCTCTTTGCTACTTTTTTCATTATATGTTAATAAAGTTTTACCTTGAATTTGCGATACGTTTTTACAACTTTAAGAAAACACTGGTAGTTGGTGTGATTTAATGTTTTCCTCTCCAAGGATTCTCCTGGATTAAGTAAAGATGTTTGTTGAACAAAAGGTAAGACTTGAATAAAGTATCCATCTAAAATTCGCAATACTATTTTTACGACTTTAAGAAAACACTGGTAGTTGGTGTGATTTAATGTTTTCCTCACCGAGGATTCTCCTGGATTAAGTAAAGATGTTTGTTGAACAAAAGGTAAGACTTGAATAAAGTATCCATCTAAAATTCGCAATACTATTTTTACGACTTTAAGAAAACATTGGTAGTTAGCGGGATTTAATGCTTTCCTCTCCAAGGATTCTCCTGGATTAGTAAAGTAGTTTGTTGAATAACAGGTAAACCTTCAATAAGAATCCATCTAACTGTAAAACAAAACGAAATTCGATATAACAATAATTTAATCATCATTAGTTTCTGATGCATAAAAACGATAAAAAAGTTACTTTGAAGATTGCAACTCCTGCTTCTTAAGACTATAATTATAGGTTTTCTTATACAAAAGAAAATTTGGTGCTATGCTTCAATTTATTTCATATTCAGTAGTTGGTTATACAAATAAATATAACTAACATTTTTAGTTTATTTTGAAAGTTATGTACGAGATTATTAATGGCAAAAATCTTAATCGAAGATCAAATGTTGTATTTAGAAAGATGACTATTTTTGTTTGTAAAATTAACTAATATTTCTTGAAGACCATACCCAACTAAAAAACATTTTATAATAACCCTAATTATTTCACAAAGTTACATTCTTCTCAGATATTGTGATAAAAATGCATAACATTGTCTCGAAATTGGAATTGGAACTGTTATGTATAATACAGTTTTCCTATACACACGTCTAGGCTTCAAAATAACACTAATTTTGCTACAGCTTTATTTTTCAAGCATTGTTACATCACACCTGTCACTTTTGAACTCTAAGCTTTCTTATCGATGATCGAGCTGCACGTGCTTTCATTGAATAACTGATAAAGAAGCGACTTTATCATTGTCCGCTAATGCAGTAGACCATGTTAATAGTTCAACTGCCTTAGAATGACATTCGATTCTGGAAATGATTAGTAGAAATAGATGGCCATTTAGAAAAGGCTAAGAAAGATAGCCGAAGTTTCTCATCAGAGCTTCTAGATAAGGCTTTCTTAACGCGACTTCTTCGCTAGAGCAGTTTACAATTTGACATGTAATAATTTAAATTCTCAACGTTGCCTAGAGTAACCTACCGGTAGATAGATAGATTCTCCGTCGATTTATTGAGTAAATGTAGAGGTTTTAATATATCATATATTTGAATCTTTTTGATGGATATTTGTTACTTTATCCCCTGAAGTTTTTATTATACATTTGACCAACCTCAACTTAGTGCAGCATCTTCGACTGCTGATAATTGTTATGCGTAGAAGTTATGTACGTCTTTTTTTGAAACTATGTTATCATTTCTATTAGAGCATTAGTTAAAGATAATACGACAATACAGAAAAACTGAGATAATGATAAACAAAGATACTTATAAGTTGGACGGGTATTCTTATTTTCTAAAATGAAATACAACAAAATATTGAGTGAAAGGCTTTGTTTGTTTCCAGGTTCTAGAAAAATGAAACAAAAAATGGCTATAATTGAGCTATATTATCACATTTATTGTGGATTCAAATAGTACCTAATCATCCTTAAAAGTCAATTAACATAATAATAATGTAATGTTAATAATGTACAAAATATGTCATTAGAATTAAATATTAAACAGTGTTCTAATATATCTCTGATGAATTTAAGACCTAACACACCTGATAACAGTGTTTCTCGGAACAAAATAAATAAATAAATAACACGAAGAAAAAAAATCATTGTGGGTTAATGATTTATATTAACAGATATTTCAGTGATTTAAATAAGTTTAATGAGTGTCTGTTAAATTGATTTTGTTTGAGTTTTCAAATAAGCAAGCACTTGTAAAACATTCATAATGTTGATAATAAAACTTTTTATGATGCATTATCATCTTACTTCTATAGCCCTTTCTTTGTGTAGAAAACTTCATTAAAACTGGAGAGTAAGAATCAGAATCACTTCCAGCATATAGTTTGATAGAACAGGTCTACTGTAGTATTCTGGGCTGGTTGTTTGTTTTAGAGCAAAGACACATTGGGCTATCTGCTTGGTTCGCCGCGAGGAATCGAACCTCGGATTTACTACTGTCCCACCGGGAGACACTGTTCTGGGACTCGGAATAAAAGGAAACACAATTACCTGACCGCCTCGAAAAGAAGTTGTCGAGGGTCTAGAAAGGCCAAGTGTGATATGATGCTAGTTATGAGGCAAAGGCAGTACCCAGAGTAAAAAATAATAAAAATAAAACACTTTACTGTTAATATAGACGAACAGAATAAATAAATAAATAAAATACAAAACGCGAATAGTCGTCATGTGAGGGGCTGAATATAACAGCAAATGTTTTAATATAGGAAATTAAAATTAAAATGAGCAATTTTTAAATAAACGGTAACATTGTATTTAATTTAATTAATCCTTTATATATATGTACTAAAATTGGGCGAAGCAACACACGTTTACCAGAATTAAACTAGGATAAAAGAAAACAATCAAACGCCAAAACACCCTTAGAATTCCCTCTCTCTCTACAGTTGGCCAATCGAACCGTAGAGTGCATGAATCTGGTAGTAGCCTTGGTCCATCTGACGATAGTAAAATAATCTCACACTCAGGGTAACGTAGATAGAATACAACTATTTCATAAACCAGCAGAAAACATCGATTCAAGCTATACGCCGTAAGGCTTAGGGATAAATTGACAAATAATTTAAACAAGATTTACTTAACGTTGAGAAAATCTAGCAATATTTGCAAATGTATTATCATGCTAAACATATAAGCTACGAATTATATCTGGATACCGCATTTCATTATTAGATGATATTTCGATACCCTTAGCAAAATGTATGTTTTGAAAGGTTTGTTGAATAGTTAATAATCTAAAGGAAATAATTTATACTTTCACAAGTAACACTTCGCCATTGAAAGTTTTCGCATATATGACAACACTTATTGGTATCGTATTTATGACATGACAACACCTAATGGCGTTGTATTTATGATATGACGACACTTAATGGTGTTGTATTTATGACATCACAACACTTAATGGTGTTGTATTTATGATATCACAACATTTATTAGTATTGTGTTTATATTGGCAAGCTCTCTGTGAAACACAGCTTTGATAATTTTCACCTCGTTTTATTTTTCAGTACACATTTTATATCTTTATAAAAGTAAATGTGTATTGCTTTTCGTTTTCTGAACATCTCACAAAATAAATATACTTAATAAATGCATTTATAATTTACTCGCCTGTGGTTTCTTTGCAATTACAAGAGATTAATTTTTACGTCTAAATTACGCTTTTATACAGTTTCTTCACTAGCCTACTTTGTGTCTTTTATATACATATTCATTAAATGATTACTAAATTTTAACTTATCCATGTCACATCAGTGTTCACTTAGTTAAATACTGGCTTACATAAAATAAGACTTTTCACGTTAACTTGAGAAGTGTAGTTAACATCTATCTAGTCTTCTTCATCATCGAGATTTGGTCCATGTTTTGGACCATGGAGGATCATGTTCAGCGTAGATCTCTTCCTCAATATATTTCCAAACAGACTGCCAAAACGCGAATCGCTGATTTCAAGGATAGAATGAGGGAATGCGCACAAAACTATTGCGCAGCAAGCTTGAAAAGACGCGTTTCCCCGATAGTTCTCAGCGTCAGTTTGTGTTGGTCAAAAAGGTTCGTAGGTACGTAGTTTGTGTGATAGCTCACCGAAGACTCGACCGAATATCTCGGAAAAACTACAGTTAGGACTAATCGCATTCACGTTACTACAAAATTACATTAGACGTTCACATGAGGAAATATTCCACTGTGGGATTCACCGCTTGCCTAATCCATGTCTCGTCGCAAACAGTCGAACCCAAAACCAATAAAGCGTGAGTATGTGACCGTAAAATAAGGTTTTGAGCTTCAAATTCTTACATTATATTTAACAGTCATGCATTTTGGCGACAGAAGGCCCCCTTCTGAGTTAAACTCAACAAATATTTAGTTATACATCATTGAATAGGAAATATAATCAGTAATTTGTAAAAAATAAGTAAACATTTCAGTCTGTTTTGTTGCGAATGCAGATTTTCTTCAGCAGCAGTACTCGTACTTCTAGTGTACTATGTTCACCTGTGAACGCATATAAATATGAATGTTTGTTTACATTTTCATATGTTTATGATTGTATACGTGTAATGTGATGTGTACTGTTTTGAAATGTGTATTTGTGTGTTGTAATAATACGTTGTATCCATATGTATATAAAAACGTTCGCTTTCGATATTCGTTGTTAGAAAATATGGTCGTAGATAAAGGTCGAATCTTTGATAAGAACTTAAGAACGTGACTTATGAGAGTCGAGCTTCATTTTTTCCAACATCGCCTGAAACCATTTTTGAGTAATTGATTAACAGTGTATAGATCTGTAGTGATTGACTCATAGAAAAGGTAGAAATACGTTGTTCAGGCACTAAACTGTACTGTCACAGGTGTTTGAAACAAGTCGGACAAATGACAGACGTTAGATAACCACAAGATCTACCCCGTTTGATGTTTCTTGACGAGAACTATGAAAAGAACCGTAAAAGATAGAAAGTAGTTTTAGATAAATGATTAGTGGATTTTCTTTTAGCAGAACTTCTTAAGAATTATGTAAAGATTGTTATACTGTATTGTGATTTTATTTTTATACATTAATTATTATGTGTTAATACATTGTTTATTTTGTAAGGATGAATAAAATAGCTATTATATCAAAACTTTTACGAACTTTTTCCATTGGTCTCTTCACATCCTTCTCTCATATTCAAGACAGTATGAGAACCTTATGAAATCTTTGTCGTCGTCACAGTAATAAAGAAACTCAACAATATATTTTTATTTTAACGTACGATGATATTTTTGATACAGTTGAACAATATATTCGAATCGACAGTTGCGTATTACGACAAATTACATTTAAGTTACTTGTCGTAGCTACACACGTACATGTGTATGTAGATATCTACATATATTACATACTATATGACAAATGTTATCGTTATACTGGAGAGTCGTGAATTACTTTGACTTTTTTAGATCTAACACTAGAACACCAAATCTTTTGGTTTCTTTCCTTTAATTATTTTGTCATGAACCTATAGTTATAGGTTTTCGAAAAATATCATGTCGGATATATATTCAGGGGCTGTTAAATTCAAAGCAAAACAAAACAGTTGTATGCAGATACACATTTTAATTTCCAATATATTTCATTTGGGTATTGCGTGTATGAAAGAAAACTAAAGACACTAAACTCGTAAAGAATATTTACGAATGAAATTTAAAGACGTTCTTGAGAAATGTACCTAAAAATCGTTTGTTTCGTGTTGCTTGACGACTTTTGTGAAAAGTCTATTTCGTATCTTATTTTTCTACCCATTCCAAAGTTTGAAGATATCTTTCATGATTCAAAGCAAATAATATATATATATATATATATATATTTAGAACATTCAGTCCCAGGACCCTTTTTTTTTCGTCAATAGCGACAAAATTATTGTAGATCTTCCAAGGTGCGAAAAAAAAGCATAGGTATCTTTTACTCAGGTTTATTAAACATCGACTGTATTTAGGGTTAAATAAGTAAATTATTTCAACCATAAGCCTATTAATAAAGCTTTAAATCCTTATCACACTAAATAAGCTTTATACAGCCAAGTTAAATTTTTTAGAGTGTTTGAATACATATATTTTAATCTTTAACCAACGAGATTGAGGCTTTAAGTGACAAGAACAATTAACATGTTTTAAGAATACAAATATGAATGTAAGAAACCATGGTGTTAACATTTTAATGTATAGGCGGTGATGTAAAAAATACAGTTACTGATAGAACAAAACTCAAAAGAGAGTATACACTCTGCACTAGAAGTACTAGTGCAACCTAGTGCAATGATAAAGCTGGGCTCGTAATGGCAAGATCTATATCTGAACATAAATATTCTGCTATGCTTATCTTCCCATTTCGTTTATGTGCACTTATAAGCAACAGTAGGAGCTAATGACCTTGCAGTGATAAAAACTGCAGACTATTCGTCGCAAAACGAAACTTTTATATTGATGACGATGTATCTGTTTTCTTATTTTTATAACGTTGTCTTAATGAGAAAAGGGGAAGGAAACTGTCCCTATACAGTCTAATGTAAAAAGCCATGCTTTGATATAAACTAAACGATGTGAAAGAGATAAACATCGAACATTTGCTACGTCTGTTGCAGTCTTATCTGTGGTGGACATCTTTCTAGCTGCTGAAGGCGCCATCGAGATCAAGATATGCTATCAGACAGTGATGTGGCCAGTCTGATCACGAAGGCAGCGCTCTGTTGGTCGATCCATACACGCGGATGTGATTATCACTTTGTCTATCTTCGAGCCACTCCTCCGATTATGGATCAGAAGTTTAGCGTGGAAAGTCACGGGAGAAACAGAAATGCACGTACAAAAAGTTTATTCAGTACTTAGATATATTTTATGATTAAATGAATGCATGCGTAACGCAAACGGACACATGTGTTTCTGCGTACCGAAATATGTTGAGAGCTCTAAAAGGTATATTACTAATTATTAGTAAAATTATTTTTTATAGAGTTTATGTAATTCATCTAAATGTTATGACATAATAGGGGCATACATAAATCATAACTCAGTCATTTTGTTGATGTTAAAGTCGTTATTTTTCCTGTCATCAAGAAGAAGACTCTTGGGACAGATAATATACGTGTTAAATCTTAGTTCTTCAGAAATAACAATAAATAAATAAATACGAAGTTTGAAACATGTGGAAAATTGTTTACGTTTTTACGAAAAACTAAATTTCATGTAAAACAAACAATTATCAAATCACACATATTTACACTTACCCAGAAGCAGTCGTTTGTTCCTTGACACTGATGATGATCCTCAAATTAATTGGCCTTATTGAAACTGTCCGAATCGCTATGTATTAAAACAAACTATGATTAGTGATTAGTCTTATCTTTGCTAGATAAGAAGGGGTTATTATTGCTTAAATTATTTCACTAATTTCCTCACTAAGACTATTTCTTCTCCTTTCCTTCTCCTTAACTTGAGTGTAGACAGCTTTTGTTTTTTCTGCGTTGCCTTTGCACGAAGAAGCCAACCACTTTTTATCTCTGGAAGCTAATGCTTTATATGCTTAATATCTTCACAGGGGTGTAAAGCAAATAACATAAACCACATTTGAACAACTCTGATAACAACTTTGTTAAAGGGGAGGATATAGAATAGAAACATAAAAAATTAATAATAAGCTTGACACATATTGTCTATACACCACTCTTATTTATTTTCTGAAAAAAAAAAGATTGGGCGTTTTATATTGTAGTATTGTCAGTAGCTCTTGTGATAGAATTTATTGCATAAGTGCTATTATGCATTGCCCATGAAATCTTTACGTAATTTTCTTTATCGGCTTCCACTAACAGGACCAGCTTTACACGCGTAGTTTCAAAGTAAGGATCCCAACGTGGGATAATATATCTCTTCTGAGATGGGAAGCTATTACACTCAAGATATTATTTGTATTTGTTAACTAATAAGTAAAAATTATCTGCGTCTCTTATTTTTCAGGAAGCTGTAAGAAGGAGGTTGGTTGGTGTAAGGACCTCTATCCTATAGCTATAATTATTCATAAACGTAGACAACTATCGAAGGAGTTAAGATGAGGGCGTTGCATAGCTACGTAAATAGTAAGTTTGAAAATTTAATGATGACGACCACATTCTTAAATAGTTTTTACGAAACTGAATGGGAAACAATACCACAGAAATTCCTATCAGCCTAATAATAATTAATATTATATGGCTAGTAAACAACTAACAAATTATACTGATGTTGGGTAGGGACAGGCATTATTGTATATAAAGTTTTCGGACTATACAACCAATTATTGTCCTTAACTTCTGATCAAAATAAGCTTCCTCCTTAAATCACAACTAAGATTTAACCTAATAATTAATATAGCTAATCTAACATATATTTCTAACTAGGTGTATGGAAAGTCATAAGATAAATCTTTATATCGGATGAGTCAAAAGTCTTGATTTTCCTCAGTGTTGTGAAGTAGGTGAAGAATGTCGAAAACTTCCTGATATAGGGTGTTAAGGCAATTTGGGGGTCACTTTTTGCATGTCGTGATGTCAGGATATAAAAGTCAAATCAAGATCAATCAAATGCTTTCTCTAAAACTATCAGTCTCAGGTAAGGTGTATCAATACAAAAGTTGTAGCGCACAACGATATTACTCAAGAAACTTTGTTTTTCTTATGGGTTTCGCAAAAAGTTGCGCAAGTTTGTAAATAGAAGTTATTTCGCTTCAATACACAATGAGCTATGAAATTATGCAAATTTATGGAAGTGGATGACCTTAATTTGACCTTTATATTATGATATAATGGCTGGACAAATGGTCTTTAATATACCTATATATCCTGCAGATTTTCGATATTTTACACCTACTTCACAACAATCGGAAAAATCACGACTTTTGACTCATCCTTTGAAATGATTAGAATGCACTGATTCATCATTTAGGTATACTGGCTTTTAGTGACACTTTAGGCGGTACTTCTATATTAGATGAATTATATTTCTGTTATTACAGAAGAAAACCAATTTTCCAAAATACGTTAACTAACCGAACACTCGCAGGCCTAACGTTTCATACTGCTGTACTGATTTTAATGCACATCTGTTCATGCGTAATTTTACAAATACAATAATTAAAAAAAAGTTAAAAAGGATAATATAGATAGAATTTTGATAACAACTGAGCACAGTACTTAGGCAAGAATTTCTGATCATTAACCCTGTATTGCACGCACTATGAAAATTGCAACTACGGAAGCAAAAGTTTTTCTTACTTAAAAAAGTCTATATTGCACAGAATATATGTTTTTATTAAATATATTTTGGTAGATTATAAATGGGGACATTACCTAGAAGTAACATTGTTCAATCGAGAAACCAGTTAACGAAGCCAACAT